GAGCACTGGGAGGTCCATGGGGTGTTACTGGGAGCACTGGGGGTGCCATGGAGGGTTACTGGGAGCACTGGGGGTGCCATGGAGGGTTACTGGGAACACTGGGGATGCCATGGAGGGTTACTGGGAGCACTGGGGGTGCCATGGAGGGTTACTGGGAGCACTGCGATGCCATGGAGGGTTACTGGGAGCACTGGGAATGCCATGGGGGGGTTACTGGGAGCACTGGGAATGCCATGGGGGGTTACTGGGAGCTCACCGGGAACACACCGGGGCCGCACCGGGAGCGTTCCCGGCCGTGCCCGCTCCCCCCGCCGGGTGTGGCCCCACTGCTCCCCCCGCGGCCATCGCCCTTTTAAGGCCGCGCCCCGGGCCCCGCCCCCGGCCGGACCTGCCGGACCGGTCCGCCCCGCCCGGCCACGCCCCTCCGCACCTGGCCACGCCCCTCCGCACCTGGCCACGCCCCTCCGCACCTGGCCACGCCCCTCCCATGCACCGTCCATCTGCCTGGCCACGCCCATTCTCCGCCTGACCACGCCCATTTCCCACTCGGCCCCGCCCCTCCCCGCCTGGCCACGCCCCTTCCCCGCCCGCCCCGCCCCGGTCCCGCCCCGGCCCCGCTCCCGTCCCGCAGCCCGGCGGCACCGGCCCCTCCGCCGCCACCGGCCCGATCGGCCCCGCTCCCGCCCGGCCCCGCCCGGCCCGGCCCGGCTCAGCCCGGAGCCCCTCGCTGCGTCCCGCTGGCTCCCGGTTCCGCCCGCTGCCGCCCGCAGCGACCCGCCGAGGTTTTTGCTCAGCGGCCCCGGGGTTGTCCCGGAGCGTCCCGGGCTGTCCCGGTGGGGCCCGGTCCGGCCCGGATGGTGCTGGCCGGGGGCCGAGCCGCGCCGTGAGCCCGGAGCGCTCCGCATGGACCCGCGCGGGATGCGGCCCGGGGCGCCCGTGCTGCTGCTCAGCTTCCTCCTCGCCGCCAGCGGTAAGGGCCACCGGGGCACCGGGACCGGGATAGGCACCGGGATAGGCACCGGGATTGCGACCGGGCACCGGGACAGGCACCGGGACAGGGACGGGGCTGGGACGGCAGCGGCGGCTCCCACGGTTCCCCCGAACCGGCGCCGCGGGTCGGAGGCACCGGGGACAGCCCGGAGCTCCCGGGGGCACCGGCAGCCCCCGGAGGGGCCGAACCGGGACCGGGGCTGGCGGGTGGGGGGGGCAGCGGCTCGCGTGGAGCGGGGGGTGGGGTGAAACCGGGGAGGGGGGGGGCGAAACCGGGACCGGGAGAGGGAAACCGAGACCAAAAGGGAACCGGGGAAAGGGAAACCGGGACCGGGAAAGGGAAACCGGGACCGGGAGCAGCGGCGGGACGGTGGTGGGGTGCGGGAGGAGCCGCGGGGCCGCGCGCAGGTGCGCGCGTACGTGGGAGCGCTCGCGTGTCCGCGCGCGCGTGTCCGCGTGTCCGTGCGCGTGTCCGCGTGTCCGCGCACCGGGTGGGAGCGTGGGGGGGGGGGGGGGGGGGGGGGGGGGGGGGGGGGGGGTCCGCGCCGCGGGCGCTTCCCACGCGGGAGCGCGCACACCTGCGCGCGCGCCCGTGGGTGCGCACCTGCGCCTCCGCGTGGGCTCCGCCCCCCCCCCCCCCCCACACCCCCACGGGGCACGCGGGGGGCGCGGACCCCGCTGGGGACACCCCGGGGTGGGGGGGGATGGCAAACCGTGGGAACGGCGACACCGGGATGCCCCGGGGGGGTCCCGCCCCGTCCCCACCCCCCCCCCCCTTGATTTGGGGTCCCACGCAGGTTGGGGGCGTGGGGGGGGGGCTGCACCCACGGGTGCTGCACACGGTGAGCGTGGGGGGGTGTGTCCCCCTCCCCCGCCGTGCCTCAGTTTCCCCTCAGGACCCGTGGGAACGGGATGGGGATCACCCCCCCCCCGCGGGTCACCGGGGGTGTTGACCCCCCCCCCCACGCGCGACCCGCACCCCACGGGGTGGGTGGGGGTTCCGGGGGGTCCCCGGGTCCTCCTCGGGGCTCCGCGGGGGCGTGGGGCGCACACGCGTGTGCGAGGGGTTCCCACGCGTGTGCGAGGGGTTCCCACGCGCGTTTTTTGGATTGGGTGGGGGTCCCACCTTCCGTGGGTCCCCCCCCCCCCTCTTTGGGGTGCGGGGACAGGGGGTGACCCCCACGTGCGCGCGCGTCCCCGTGGGAAAAACCCGCCCCGGGCGGCTCCCCTCCCCCCACGCGGGGCTCTGCCCCTCGGGGACCCCCGGGGGGGTTCGGGGGACCCCCGGGACCCGCCGGGACCCCCGGGACCCGCCGGCGGGGCCGTTTTGGGCCCCCCCGCGCGCGGCCGGGGCGTGGGGCCGCGGGGCCGGTTCAGCCGGTTCCCGCGCCGGTTCCCACGCGCTCGGGCCGCGCTGGGTGGGGACGCCCCGAGGGGGGAACCTCCCCACGGAACCCCCGGACCGCCCCACGGCCGCCGCGACCCCCGCGGGGTCCCCCCGGAGCCCTCCCGGGACCCCCGAGCTGCCCCCGGGGCTCCCCCGAGCTCTGCGAGCGCGGCGGCGCTCGGGGAAACTGAGGCACGCGGAGGCGGCGGGGGGGCTGCGGGGTAATTAGTGATGGGGTTAATGAGTCGGGGGGTCCTCGGGGGGGTTGGGGTGCCCGGGGGGAATTTTGGGGAGCCCCCGGGGGGCTCGGCGGGGGCGGCAGCGCGGGAGCCGTCCCGGCCGGTTGGGCTGGACGGGCCGGCCCGGCCGCTTCTGGCGGCGGCGGGGCGGGACACGCCCCCCCAAAACTGCGGGACACGCCCCCCCAAAACTGCGGGACACGCCCCCCCAAAACTGCGGACACGCCCCCCCAAACTGCCCCCTCCCCAAAATGCAGCCCCAAAAATGCAGCTCAACCCCTCCCCCGGCAGCACCCCAAACCCTGCACCCCAAACTCGCACCCAAAGGGACCTAATGAGCCCCAAATCTGCACCCCGAATCCTGCCCCCAAATCCTGCACCCCAAATCCTTTACCCCAAATCTGCACCCCTAATCTGCACCCCAAATCCTGCCCCCAAATCCGGCACCCCAAATCCTGCACCCCAAATCCTGCCCCCAAATCCTGCACCCCAAATCTGCACCCCAAATCCGGCACCCCAAATCCCGCACCCCAAATCTGCACCCCTAATCTGCACCCCAAATCCCGCACCCCAAATCCCGCACCCCAAATCTGCACCCCTAATCTGCACCCCAAACTCGCACCCAATGGCACCTCATGAGCCCAAATCTGCAGCTCAAATCCTGCACCCCAAATCCTGCACCCCAAATCCTGCACCCCAAATCCCGCACCCCCAATCCTTTACCCCAAATCTGCACCCCTAATCTGCACCCCAAATCCCGCACCCCAAATCCCGCACCCCAAATCCCGCACCCCAAACCCCAGCCATCCCCCCAACCTGGACCCCAAATCCTGCAGGTGTGCCCAGGTGTCCCTCAGGTGTCTCTCAGGTGTGCCCAGGTGTCCCTTATGTCCCTCAGGTGTCCCCCAGGTGCCACACTCAGGTGTCCCAGGTGTCCCCCAGGTGCCACAGCCGCCCCCTGTGCCCCGCAGGCGCGGGCCGCGTGGAGGTGCCTGTACCCACAGACAGGTGCCACACTCAGGTGTCACACCCAGGTCCCTCAGGTGTCCCAGGTGTCTCAGGTGTCCCCCAGGTGTCCCAGGTGCCCCCCGGGTGCCACACTCAGGTGTCCCCCAGGTGTCCCAGGTGTCTCAGGTGTCCCCCAGGTGCCCCCAGGTGCCCCCAGGTGCCACACTCAGGTGTCCCCCAGGTGTCTCAGGTGCCACACTCAGGTGTCCCCCAGGTGTCCCCCAGGTGTCTCAGGTGTCCCCCAGATCCCCCAGGTGCCCCCAGGTGCCACAGCCGCCCCTGTGCCCCGCAGGCGCGGGCCGCGTGGAGGTGCCGCGCGCCGTGACGGCCGTGCTGGGCCAGGACGTGGTGCTGCCGTGCCGGTACCGGGCGCAGGAGCGGGAGCAGGTGGTGCAGGTGACGTGGCTGAAGCGTGGCGCGGGCGCGGCGCCCGCCGAGGTGGCGGTGCTGAACCCGCAGCACGGCGAGCACGTGCAGGAGGCCTTCGCCGGGCGCGTGCTGCGGCGCGGCCACGGCGACCTGCGCGACGGCGACGTCGTCCTGCGCAACGCCGTGCAGGGCGACGAGGGCGACTACGAGTGCCACCTCATCACCTTCCCCATGGGCAGCTTCGAGGGGCGCCTGACGCTCCGGGTGCTGGGTGAGCGCGGGGACGGGGCGCAGGACACGGGGGACACGGGGACGTGGGGACACGGGGGACATGGGAGACATGGTGACAGGGACATGGAGATATGGGGATGTGGGGGACACAGGGACACGGGGGACACGGGGAAGGGGACAGGGTGTGGGGACACGGGGACGTGGGGACACGGGGACAGGGTGTGGGGACACGGGGGACACGGGGACGTGGGGACACGGGGAAGGGGACAGGGTGTGGGGACATGGGGGACACGGGGATGTGGGGATGTGGGGACACGGGGACATGGAGCTGGGGACATGGGAGACAGGAATGTGGGGACATGGGGACAGGGATGTGGGGACATGGGGGACATGGGGACAGGGATGTGGGGACATGGGGACATGGGGAGAGGGACATGGGGGACATGGGGACATGGGGACATGGGGAGAGGGACATGGGGATGTGGGGACACGGGGGACACAGGGACGTGGGGGACATGGGAGACATGGTGACATGGACGTGGAGATATGGGGATGTGGGGGACATGGGGGACACAGGGATGTGGGGATGAGGGGACATGGGGATGGGGATGTGGGGATGTGGGGACACGAGGGACACAGGGACGTGGGGGACATGGGAGACATGGTGACAGGGACATGGGGATGTGGGGACACGGGGGACACGGGGATGTGGGGCTGGGGACATGGGGACAGAGGGGACATGGGGGACATGGGGCTGGGGTCATGGGGGACATAGGGGACATGAGGAGAGGAACATGGGGAGAGGGACATGGGGATGTGAGGACACGGGGACATGGGGACACAGGGGACAGGGGGACATGGGGGACAGAGACATGGGGATATGGGGACATGGGGACACAGGGACACGGGGACAGGGATGTGGGGACAGGGTCGCGGGGACGGGGGACATGGTGCTGGGGACATGGGGACAGGGGATGTGGGGACATGGGGACAGGGACATGGGGATGTGGGGACACAGGGACATGGGGCACAGGGACACAGGGACGGGGACATGGGGACACAGGACAGGGATGTGGGGCTGGGGACATGGGGGTCATGGGGGACATGGGGACAGGGACATGGGGATGTGGGGACACAGGGGACATGGGGCACAGGGACACGTGGGAAAGGGGACAGAGATGTGGGGCTGAGGACATGGGGGACACGGGGGAACAGGGATGTGGGGCATGAGACACAGGGACACAGGGGACATGGGACATGTGGGGCTAGGGACATGAGGGACAGGGGATATGGGGCATCTGGGACACAGGGGACATGGGGACACATGGGACACACGGGACATGGGGGGCACAGGGGACATGGGACAGGGATCTGGGGCATGTGGGACACACGGGGCATGGGGACACACGGGGCATGGGGACACATGGGACATGGGGGGCGCAGGGGACACGGGGCACGTGGAGGGCAGAGGGAACCCCATGGGCATGTGGGACGTGGGGACTTTGGGGACACAACAGCGACACACCACCACACACCGCCAACACACCGAGCGCCCAACCGAGCCCCGTCCCGCCCTGTCCCCCCTGGCAGTGCCACCGCTGCCCATCCTGAACCCGGGCCCGCCGCTGGAGGAAGGGCAGGGCCGGACGCTGGCGGCCTCGTGCACGGCCGAGGGCAGCCCGGTGCCCTCGGTGCGCTGGGAGACCGAGGTGCGCGGCACCAACGCCACGCGGCGCTCGGCCCACGCGCGCTCCGCCTCGGTCACCAGCGAGTTCTTCCTGGTGCCCGGGCGCAGCATGAACGGCAAGAGCCTCACCTGCGTGGTGGCACACCCCGGCCTGAGCCACGAGAAGAGGATCACCCACCAGCTCAACGTCGCCTGTGCGCCCGCGGGCACCGCCGGGGCCGTGGGGGGCTTGGGGGGCTTGGGGGGCATGGGGGGTGTGGAGAGCAATGGGGACATGGGGGGCATTGGGGAGGTGGGGAGTGTTGGGGACATGGGGGGTGTTGGGGACATGGGGGACACTGAGGACATGGAAGGTGACAGGGGACATGGAGGGTGTAGGGGACATGGGGTGTGATGGGCATTGGGGACATGGAAGGCATTGGGGACACAGAGGGTGTTGGGGACATGGGAGACATGGAGGGTCTTGGGGACATGATGGGCACTGGGGACAGGGAGAGCCTTGAGGGACACACGGGGATATCGAGAGGTGTGGAGGACACCGGGGACACGGAGCGTGTTGGGGACGTTGGGGACATGGAGGGCACCGGGGACATGGAGCGTGTTGAGGACGTTGGGGACATCATGGGCACTGGGGACACTGGGGACACGGACATTGGGGACGTTGGGGACATCGTGGGCACTGGGCAGGTGGAGGGTGTTGGGGACACGGGTGACACTGGGGGATGCTGGCACGGAGGACCTTGGGGACACGCAGGGTGGGACATGGGGCGGGGGGAGGATGAGGGGCACGGGGGGACACCGTGGGGCCGTGGGGCCTTGTCCCCTGACTGTCCCCTCGGTGTCCCCAGACCTGTCGGACGCGTCGGTGCTGGGCCACACGGCCGAGTGGCAGGAGGGGATGGAGGGGGCGGCGCTGACCTGCCTGGGGGACGGCAACCCCCCCCCGACCTACAACTGGACACGGTGAGGCCCCTGCCACACCCTGCCACCGCCTGTCACCCCCTGCCACCGCCTGCCACCGCCTGTCACTGCCTGTCACCCCCTGCCACCCCCTGCCACCCTCTGCCACCGCCTGTCACACCCTGCCACCGCCTGTCACCCCCTGCTACCCCCTGTCACCGCCTGTCACCCCCTGCCACCCCCTGC